GGTATTTATAGTTAACTAATTAGGTGGCATATAGATTACAGTTGTATCGCCATTTGAGAACCGCTAAGGCATGCACTAGTATGACGTGCATTTTGCATTTTAGATCACGCTCGAGTGACGTACATTTTTCTTTTTATGACACATACCAAGGTGGCGTATTCCATACATTTGACCACATGGGAGGGTCCGATGTGAGGGCTATGCCTGAACCTGGCATGTAGTGCTGTAGTTAACGTGGCTGATTTCATAATGTTGATCACACGTGAGCTGGGCAATAAAAAAAATATATCCGACAATGCATTAGATCATATGTCATCATTTGTGAACTCGATGTGAGGGCTATTGCTGAACCTGGCACATAGTGCCTTAGCTTTCTGATTAATTCCTCTATGAGGGCCAGATTTGAGGCACATAGTACTGAAATAGTATTCATGATCTTTACATGAATGAGGCACGTAGTGCTGAATTGATAACTATTATTAGCTTTGTATAATTCATTCAAATATTGCCTGAGGATAAGACACGTAGTGCTGAATTGTTATCATTACCTAGTGATCCATCAAAGCATAATTTTATATATATCTGTAATAATTTTACTTTGGTGTATCACTTTTTTTTCACATATCTGAGGCATGTAGTGCTGAAATATTAACCCTGATCTTTATATAATGCACTCGAATATCACCTGAAAATGAGGCACATAGTGCCAAATGTTATCTGTCATATTGCATTCAAATATCGATCAAGATTGAGGCACGTAGTGACAAATTGCTAACATTTATTTGGTAACCCACCAAAGCATAATTCTATATTATATATATCTGTAATAATTATTCCTTGATGGCCTACTGATTTTTATAAATTGTTATCCCTACTTGGTAACCCACCAAAGTATAATTTTATATATATCTGTAATAATTTTATCTTGGCATCCTACCAATTTTCATGAATTGTTATCTCTACTTGGTATCTGATCAAAGTACAATTTTTTATATATTTATATTTCTATATCAATTATACCTTGACAGCCTACCAATTTTTCTTCTGAATTATATATCTAATCATATTCTATTACTTACTAAATCTTGACCTATAAATTTTAATACTTTGGCGTCCTACCAAATTATAATATCTGATACTTTGATGGGTTATCGAATTATAATACTTTGATGTCCTATTTTTTTCTAGAGTACTTTGATGGGTTATCAAATTATAATACTTTGATGTCCTATTTTTTTCTAGAGTACTTTGATGTCCTACTTTTTTTAGAGTACTTTGTATTCAGTGAAATATCTTTCAAAAAATATATATTACTTACCCTTGATCAAAATTATGCGATACAAAAACAGTTATCGATCAACCTACCTTACCTATATATCAGATTTCTGCAATTTTTCTTATTATATATTACCTTTTACCTCGACCAGGCAGGCACATGAATCAGATGACAGTAACCACTCAAAAACCCTCTTTGATAAGTATCTGGTTATCCAAATCCTATCATTTAAAATTATATAACACAAAAATGGTTATCGAATATCTCGTATATTTTGTAACGCAATTACTTACCTTATCCTATATATCAGATTTCCAAGACTGCGTGATCCTGGGTCTCACCCTCTTGTGATTTACCTTACCTCCTATATTGGAAGCACTTACCCAGAACTTTATTTCGATCAAAATTCCACGGCACAAAAACCTGAACCTCCAAGGTTCAATCTGGGTTTTCATAAATCAAGCTTTTTATATGTTTTATCCCAACAGCCTACCATTTTAAATTGGACGACACAAAAATCCAGGTATTTAAAGTTAACCAAATTAATATTAGCTTATTATAAAAGAAATTTCTCAAGGAATATATTGTCACCGATTTAACATCGTTAGTTATTCTATATGAAAACACGTGAACAGAAGACGCAGTAACAATAAAAGATTGGTTATAATAATATTTGGATTACGTGTCTAGTTCGATAACATTCTACTTCTTTCTTTTTCTTTCTATTTTATTCTTTTTCTTTCTCGTATCACTTATTTTCTATAATTATCTCATTGTTTTCTTTATCTGGACATATTAATTACGCCATTCTCTTGGCAAATTTCATCATTATCTATTTTAGTTTAGTCTTTATTTTCTATTTTTGCTATTGGTACTTAGATGTAGAACAAGATTATTAATTATGATGTAGTTAAATTTCGTGTAATTTAGAAGAGAACCAGTAATTTCATAGTATTAGTGAAGATCTACTGTGCCACGTGCTGCGCCGCAACTGCGCCACGCTGCGCCATACTGCGCATTACTGTGCCACACTGTGCCACTATAACACGAAAACATGTATAAATATAAGTGCTGATAATTAATAAAAATCAAGTTCTTAGTTTGATTTAGTTCTTAAGTTTTGGTTTTGAGTTTCTTTTGGTTTAATATTGAGTTTAACATGTTAAATTGATTTTATTTTGGAATTACAAGTACTTTTTGGTTAAATTCACCTTTTAGTTTAGTTTTGTTATTAGTTTAGTATCTTCGTCACTTTTATCTTGTCAAGAAACATTATTTATCGTCATAAACACCATTTTAGTTATAATATTCAAAGTAAATTGCTGTGAACACATTCACTATTGCCATTTTGAAATACTTTCATACGCAAAAGCTCAAAACGGTAACAATATTTAATTTATTTGTTAATCCCTTCTCCCATCCTGGTTCAAGTTTGCTAGCTAATTTAATAATTAGTGAACAAACTTGTAGTGATTAGTTGTATCTCTGTTTCTCCTTAAAGAAAATACGAATAATTCACGTTGTATATTAAGAAGCTGAAACTTTAGATGTTTCACTAAATTCCATGTATTCTAATAGCTCTCTTTTCACGTATAATTGAACTCACTGTAGCATTTATAATAAGAATTCAATTGCAACGATACTCTCGATATAACAACCCCTATGAGAAGCAAAGCAAATTTATTAATTTGCTTGATTTTTACTGACGACCCATATAGTGAAGACTAATTAAACTCTCAATATAGTGAGCTTAAACTCAAAACAGTCTATATTAATCCTTTCAATATAAATAAATTCTCGATATACACACCCCTATAGTATATTACCGAAATTTCAAAAATGAATTTGTCACTTTGGTACACGATATCTCGACATCCAGTGACCCTGTTCGAACAAAAATATTACCATTAGATTTGTATAATTGAGACGAACCTAAAGGTAATATTTTTGTTCGAATGAGATCACTGGACGTTGAGATATCGGGTTCCAAAGTGACAAATTCATTTTTGAAATTTCCGGTAATATACTGTAGGGATGTGTAGTGAATTTTTGAACGCATTCACTATAACGAGAGTGACTTTGTATACACGAATTCATAAAAAAATGCGCGCTACGGGAATTAGCTCGTAATAATCAAGTTTAATTAATACCGGTCTTTGTGCACTTAAATCGAGGCCGCATGATGTACTAGGCAAGAAATTTACTAAACTGTAGAGTTATTCAACCCATATTACTTTCATTTTCAGACACTATGGAATCGTGTCACTGTAACATCCGCAGCGGGTTTCTCTCACAACGGAGACCGTTACGAAATGTTCATGAGAAAGTAATAGCGATGATCGAGTACGATGGAGATGACGAGTCAACGACCCCATGGCTACGGAGCATTAGCTGGGCTGTCTTCTGTGCAATAGGACGTCTATATTTCAGTCTATAGAACGCTTGGAAAATCATTAACTCAGCCATGCTTGGATATCATATATAAAATCCAAATACACAAGTTCCGATGTAAGATGTGCGATTTTATGTGTAGGATTTATGTAAAGTATCGCGGAAAATTAACTGTTCATGTAAATGAGGATATTGAAAGAAACAACTGTGCCACATACACCGACATTAAGGGTCCGTGCCCCAGGTTCTTGCTATAACTTCTTTATACTCTATGACGAACAAATAACATGTCCGATGATAATTTACAGGAGCAAGCTCTCAGTTTCCTTTATCAAAGAGGGAACTGCAAGTGAAGTGTCTGCCACCCATGACTGTCTTGCATAACTGATTACATGTACTTAGATTTCGGCAGGTTCGTGCCGTAGTCCAATAAGAATGCGATTTACTAGTAGCGCAGACCAATAAGGATGTGCGAATTTTTGATCAGCCGGCAAAACAATCAGACGCAAAAAAATGAAAAATGCGAAAAATACGGGAAATGGATGTTCAAATCTAACTTGGAGTACTAATAAAAAATGTCGGTGAGGTAATTTTACATACAACCTTGACCTTCACTCTAACCCTAACTATATATCAACTTTTGGGTAATTTTATTGCTGCGGCACAAACCTGGCACACATTCCAGAGTGCTAGATTTCGTATGTGTGATGTCATCATGAACAGCTACATGTAATTAGTAACGTAACGCGCGCGTACATGTACATGTATATCAGAATCTTATTATACGGCCGTTGTAACGGACTTCATAAAATGTAAATATTGAAAAGCTATCATTCTATAATGCAAAATGTGAATATTTTAAAATATAAATAATGTGATCGTAGCCGACAATACATTGGCGCAGTAATCAATACTCAGCTTATAAAGATAATAAAAGTGAAAATCTATATATAGATGTCCAAGATTTTGATGATATATCGTCATTTTATTAACGTGAATGCCGAATTCAAAATTGCCAGCATAGAGCTTCACACGTGTCTACATGCATAAAGAATATCTCGACTGTAACTGACGTAATCGTAATATCGATATTGCCTAACGACTGATCTGCATTGTTTAAAGTTAGTCGTAATTGAATTGTCATAAGTATGTCATTAATTACGTAATCGAAGCGTCAACGTACATTTAGTTGCTTTTACCACACGTCACGAAATAAGAAGACAATTATTATATAAAGATTCCTTTTTTCGCTTCAACTTTCAATCAAAAACACACTCATATCACACGTATACACACATACTTTTACAAACTCGAACAATAATAATCTTAAAAAATGGCAAGCAACGTAACAAACAACGATACATCCAAAGTCCACGGTGGAACAAACAACGAACCATCCAAAGTTCACGGTAACACTACCTACTATACAGGAGCCACCAAAGAACAACTCGGAAATTTAACTGTATGTACTGAACCATGCAGAACATTGGAATTTTAGTCATGTATTTTCAATCAATTCGCGTCTTATTTCATCATTTTATAATCTTAGGGTAACGAGCAATTGCAAGCTGAAGGCAAATTAGCAAAAGCTGAAGGTCAATCTGAAGTTAACGCAGCGAAACTTCGTAACCAAACTCAAGGTAAAATTTAGCAAATATAGAATTCTAGTTTAAGCTAGTTCTCATTGGTCCCTTTTTTCTTTATAGGAGTGAAAGATAACATCACAGGAACAGTTAAAGACACTACTGGTAGCTTAGTCGGTAATGAAAGATTGCAAGCAGAAGGCAAAACAGAAAAGGCAGCTGGTCATGCGCAGCAAAATGCTAATCGATACTAGTTATCATTATAAACACTAGCGCTAGTATTATCGTTGTTAGTAACAAATTACTTTGAAACCTCAGATACATTTTAAAGTCATGTATTAATATAACGATATATAGCATTTTTTTTAATTATTCAACTCATTAAAGATTCATTCAGTGTGCATGTTTTGAAAATGGCAGATTATTTAATACAATTGTGAAAGATTTTGAAAAACCAAAGTCTCTTCCACTGGCAATGCAAATCCCATTATAATTTTAGCCGGAGTTTTTCGTCCAGATTTAGTAGTAATCTTATACCTGCGAATCAAAAGAGAGAGGACAACCTGAAAAAGGATGAGAATTAAGAATGTTTCATGTACGAAAATAATACTGAAATAAATTTTCCTAATACCTTAATTCCATGGGTTGCAAAATTTCTTCCAGGACAAGCGTGACGTCCCAGTCCAAAAGTGAGCCAATCGCGACTGACACGAGTGAAAGGCGAATCCTTTCCCACGTAACGGAATCCATCGAACACATCCGCATTAGGCAAATATCCACTTTCTTCACCATGTATCATTGACATGTCCATAGTAACGTGACGTCCTAAAAAAAATGAATTAGTCTTTGAAAGTCTAATGTACATATTTGACATTTACGTAATATTTTTTATACCATATGGAACTTCTATGCCGTTAGAAAAAGTAAACTTCTTGCCAATTACTTTATGGTCATTCCCAACTATAATAATATAATATCATGTATAATATATAATATACATGTAATAGTAAATTATAATAGAATAATGCTTACGTATATCTTCATAATTACGCGCCGATTCCTTTACAAAACTGTCCAATTTTTCCATCTTGGATATACATTCATATGAAAGGCTATTTCCGTATTCTTGCATAATGCTCAATTGCTCGTCTTGAAGTTCTTGCCAGTACTCAGGTCGAGTCGCGTATTCTATAACGATTTAGTATTAGGTCTCTAATATATGTACGTAAAGTAAAATCCACTAGATATATACCATGAATTACAGAGTTGAAAAAGGTTGACGTCGTAAAAATTGCAACAAACACAAGAAGCAGAATATAGTTTCCGACATTTTCATAATCAATATTATTTTTGTCGAAACTTGGCATGCTAAGGATCATTTGAAGAAAGTCCTGCCGAAATAGGTTCAAGGAAGTAAATAAATCATTTTGATAAAATAATATATCTTCCATTGAAATACCTGCGCTTTTTCATCATTATCGATTTTGTTTTCAAATTTTTTCACAATGTACGGTTTAATTTTTCGTACTAAAATATCACGATTTTTCTTTCCAGGATTAAAAATGAATTTCCTTATAAATAAAGAATTTTTTTGTCAATATGCATTTGTAAATTGTAATAATGTTATTGACATTTCGATTGGAAGACTCACAAAACGATATTTCGATAAAACCACGGGTGTATAAAGTTTAGTAGCGAGAAATTTGAAAAGTTATCACCCTTCGGACTTCCATAAGAAATAAAAGCGTCCAGAATTTCTGGATCATTACAAAGCTCCTGAATTTTAAAATAGTTGATTAAACTCAGAATCAAGGAAAAAAAACAATTTAGATTACCTCATCAAATAAAATACGAGCAAGTGAACGAGCAAAGACTTCCGACATAAATTGCAAGGGAGAATCAATCATTTTTGGTTCTAAATGATATTTTAAATTATTATCAAAGCTGATTAATAAATAAATCATGTAATATGAATAATTACTTTTACAATCTCCGATTTGACGTTCAATTATTGTAGTATACGTCCGCTCGAGTCTTTCTGAGAAAACGTTTATATCTTTGGATGAATACAAATATTTGCGTATAACTTCCGATGTTTCTCCAAGAAAACCTTGTTTGAGTCCAAAATGGATTTTTAATGGAATCCACTAAAATAAAGAAAAGTATAATCAGAAATTCTTTTATTTTGAGAAATTAGTTTACATACATCCTCCAGCGCTTCTTCGAAGCTCAGATCTTTCGAACTAAAAACTTCATGCGCAAATTTACTATCAACTACTGTAATGATTTGACTAAACAAATAGATGGAGAATATATGACCATACTTCAAAAAAGATTTAAATAATTAATTTCACATTACGACGTTAGGTCAATTAATTATAGTCAACTTGACAATAACTAAAACAAACCTGTTTACGTAATTTTTTAAGAAACTTCTTCGGATCTTTTTGAAAAGAAAAAGCATGGCCAATTATAGGGATTCGAGATGGAACAAGTGGAGGTTCATTCTTGAATAGTAAATTACATATAAAAATAATTATTTCAATATCCATAAATTTTCCATAGCATATTCACAGTATAAAATATGCTTACTGGTGTTACTCTTGGTCTTTGAAATAAAAGCAAAGCCAAGGATAAGAGAGCAATAACAAATAAAATATAAAAAATCATAATTTTTTATTGTTACGTAAAATCATCTACTGTGTGTGCAACTTTATATACGTGATACGTAATAATAATAATAATACATGTAATCATAATCACAGACATAGCGATCGTATATGTATACGTACAAGCGACATAGCGATAGTAAATCCGATACAGTGAACTCAATAGATTGAAAATTTTTTAAAATAAACTTTCACTCGATACAGTGAAGTTGTACGTATAATATTGTTGTAGAATTCGTTATACGTATAATATTCTTAACTCGGGAAACTCTTGAATACTCTTGATTCGGGAAATCAAGACTAAAATGTTATCGTGTAACAATGCGACTATAGCGATTGTCATGATATTCTTATCGTTATTATTATAAGTCATTCTTTTAGTAGTTAAATATTTATTAGTTTTACGATATATATTTTTTTTAAATAGAAGCTTTTTACTGAAACAAAGAGGAAGCTCATCAAATTATCAAATAAAGATAAAGATTGTTATTAAAGCATCTTCTCTTATTTGCTTTTGATTGACTTCAGAAATTTGCGTACAAACTTTACAGAAGACCTCTACTCTAATAAGCCATACGTTTGAACTTGATTAAACTGCGAACTGATTTGATTATTGATCCTTTAACAGACCATATCAATAAGTCCTGTGAATTATCATCAACGATTGATTTTGATATTTTTAATTTGGACGGTCTCAGTAAGACCCGACGTTTTATATTGTTTTATTTCGTATTTTAAATTCTCTTGAAGGCAGTCTCAATAAGCCCTTCGGTTGTTATTATTAATCGAACCTTTTAAATTTTATTATTACGTTGGTCAGTTTGCGTAAAAGCTGCCACAGGAGACCTCTAGAACAATAAAGAACCCCTTTATTACGTAAATCATTCAGTCTAACTCCTAACTGACAGTCGCAACCATTCTCTTTATCTCGTAATCTTTTAAGAATTTTTGGTCGATCACTTCGAAAAATATGAAAACGCAACTGCCCGAGATACCTGACCTTGTACATGAAAATTTGGGGTGGGTACTTTGTCAGAGCAGTAAGTCACGATGCATAGAAATAATAGAACTCCGTTGATTTTTTGTTCGATTTACATAATTTTCAATAATTTGCAAAAACAATAACAATGAAACCAGAATATAATGATAAGAATTTTAAGAATATCGTATACATAATAAGACTTTTAAATACGGCATAAAGCATTATTCAGTTCTTTTGTTTAATCAGAAGAGATTTATTATTTGTAAAATTGCGTGGGTGTCTCTTGATCCAAATTAAATGTTCATTTAAATGTTGTGGAATATCTGACGAGATTGTTATTTCTAACGCTAATACATAGATGATAGTTTCTTTTCTCG